GTGCTCGAGCCGTGACGGGTCCACTGGGGTCCAGTGGACGTGCCGCCGGGCACATGGCACTACACCAGAATTAATCAGCGTGAACGGTCAAGTTTGTTTCGAACGCGCCGAACAACCCCCTTCCTGCCCCGCCTCCCCCAGCCCTTCCGCCGGTTTGATCCGCCCGGGGCAACGAACCTCCCTGGCAGACGGGCTGGGGGGGGGGGGGGGGGGGGGGGCTCGGTGCATGACTCTCTCTGATGTGTCTCTGTCAGTCCCTAATGAGTGCGAGGGAGATGGAGCTAGCCTCGTTAGGGGATGGAGTGGGTATCCGAAGTAAGGGACGGCGGCTAAAGCGTCATTCCGAACGGTGCTTCGTCGCTCTGTCTCTCTCGCACCCCTACGGCACCCTACGGCACGCCGCACGAGTGCGAGAGAGAGGGACAGAGCGACGAAAGCTGCTCGGAATCGGCCTGCAGATACTTGGGGGCTATCGGCTCCCCATCGCCGGCGAGGCGAGGGTTGAGGGTGTCTCTGAAGTAGCGGGCCGTGCCGGGCCGGGCCGGGCCGGACCCACACTGCTAGCCAAAGTCGAGGCGAGCCCCCCGGAATGTAGGCAGCCAAGTAGCCCCTTTGTTGAAGCTCCTCCAACCACTCCCTCGACATAAATTGGCAAAAGTATGGCGTATTGGGCTATCAGGGGCCGTGCCAAATGGCCAAATGGCCAAAAGGCTAAATGGCCAAGTGGACGATGGGCCAAGCTGTCATCCGCCACCCCACTCTCTTTGTCGGGACAGTCAGAGCCACTTCCAAGCGTCCCCGCCCCTGCTGTGTACTTGTCTTCAAACTGTTTCAAAACGGCGACCGAAGCCGTCAGCCAATCGACCAATCGAAGCGGCAGGCGATTCGAGTGTGTCGCTTAATCTTATCGCACTGCCGCCGCCCTCTTCCTGGTCACCTTCCGTCAAGGTCCGCGAGGTCTCGTCCGTCTCGTCGCCGCGTTACCAAACCTACCCCAAATATCCAATCCGGGACTCGAACTTTATAATTTACGAACGCGTCCGCCATGTCCGCCATGCATGACATAACCCCGCCGAAACTTGTTCCCGCTGAAAAATAAAGGGAATAAAATATTCATTGATGCGAGTGGATGGCCGCAGACAAAGCCAGGCGGTCCGCGGCGGTAGCGGCGGCCAGAGACCAGGGACCGGTCAAACGAGGAAGGGAGGGGGGGGGGGCAATGCCCTTCGCATCGTCTGGCTAGACTCGCAGGTGACTGGAACAGGGCCGTTGCTATATTTTTGGAAATTCGTTCAAGAAATTTGGAGGTGGGGGAGCGGCCTGTGGTCTGCGGAGTCTGCGGCAGTCACTGACCTGGCGTACCGTTGGCGCGCCGTGGACGCCGCGGCCGGGACGGGCCGGGCGGGACGGGACGGGATCCCCCCGGGCGAGGCGGGCGAAGCGGTTCCCTCCCGAAACGACTCGAGAGGCGGAGAGGCATGGATTCCCATGACGTCTCTTTTTTCTCTTTGCGAATTGGGCTGGTGCCGCTGGTGCATGATTCACAGACGCGTAGGTACCCATCCTCACACACACACACACACACACACACGTTCGCGCTCACACAGACGCGCGGACGCCGTTGCCGAGGGTTAATGCGCCGTGCGGAACACTGCCCCCCCCCCGTTTTCCCCTTCCCTCTGCCTCGCCGCCACCCTCGCGGAAATCAAGGTGCGGTGCCGCTCACCCGGGTGGTTCAAAAGCAACCCCCTGTTGGTTTCTTTAAATTTTTATTTCTGCTCGAAGTTAAACGAGGAGGCGTCTCCCACTCCCAATTAGCGCAGAGAGGGTCGTCTGGAGAGAGAGAGGGGGGGGGGGTGCGCCACCCCTTGGGCTAATGTCTGAGGGTAACGTCCCCCCTTCCCGTCTTTCTCTCTCTCTTTCCCTTTCCAGCGACGATCGTTGACCTCTCTCGCCCCTGGAATCATCCAGGACAGAACGCATGTCTGCGAGGGCCAGCGTGCTGGAGTGGTTCCCTCGGCACTTTTGTCACTTTGGAATGTGGAAGGGGAGGGGGTCCATTTTCATCACTCCGCGCTCCGTTTTTAGGTGTTGGGTGCCAAGGAACTCTTACTGGTCGGTCTTCCTGTGCACCACACCCAAAGAAGTCCGTCTTGGACCAAGATGTGTTGCTTGGGACATTCAAGTGCTTTCACTTGTTCCTGGTGAAATAGCTTGGTTCAATGAACGACTTTTTTGAGTGCAGGGCCAGGCTGAGCGCGCGCGGGCACGGCGCGCTGGCTCCCGAACCTGGGTCGTCGCTCCCACCCAGTCAGGCCCAGTCAGGCCCAGTCAGGCCCTACCCAGGTGGAGTGGTGGCTGGGCCGGCTGGGCCGCTGGGTCGACGCCCCACCTAGCGTAGAGCCAAGGGCTAAGGGCTGAGGCGACGCAGCGACGCAGGGCTGGTGTCTGGCCGCGCCGTGCCCGCCATGCGCACAGTGCACGCGCTCTGTCAGCTCTGTCTCTGTCAGAGTCGACTTGGGGCCTTCGATTCATCGAAGTGGCGGATGTGGTTGGCGGCGGTCCTCCCCACCGGGGTCAACCCGTTCAACTGGTCGAGGCGAAGAGCTTCCCTCGCGAGGGCCAACTGCTCCCGTAATCTTGTGTACATCGGTGCTAAATTTAAACCCCAGGTATATTGCCCGCGGCCGAGCTATGCAGCCGGCTGCACGAAGCGACTGCGTGTTGTGCGGTCGGTGAGGTCCACAGGGCTGCAGCCCTTGGTCATTGCGAAAAAAAAAAGAAAAAATTTGAAGCATGTGGCCGTATTTTTGGGACCCGCCTTAGAAAGGAGGGGGAGCAGGTGAATGGAACTAACTGGTCGGACGACACGTCCATCAATCGGAGCTAAAGCGAGCTAAAGCGAGCTGAAGCGAGCTGAAGCATCGAACCATCAAACGGCACGTGACCGCGTCGTACCATCATAATGGCAGGTCTCTAGCCGACTGCCCCACCCACCTGCTCGGCTACCGTGCCAGTGCCACGCTCGAGACGGTGATCACCGACTGCAACAGCATTGTCAGATTGTTTTTTTGTTTTTTGTTTTTGTTTTTTCAGGAAAATAAAACACTCAAGTAGTCAAAGGGTTATTTTTTTTCCTTCTTTTAGTATTCCTAAAAAGGGTTGGGCCTGTTCTCCTCGCCTAATCATCTCTATGTGTTTGGGGTGTCCTTTTCGGTGGCGCAAATGGGTGTCGAACGAACACCTGTGACGCGCAACAATGCTGGTGCGCGACAAAGTTGGGCGGGTGAGGCGGGGCGGGGCGGGGCGGGGCGGGGCGGGGCGGGGCGGGGCGGGGAAGGGCGGCTGGCTGGACGGGACGGCCGAGTGAGCGTGCAGGCTCGAATTGATCGCATCAGCTGTTACCTCCTCGGCTGGCTCGGCTGGCTCGGCTGGCGAGGGGAGGCGAGGGGTGAGGCTCCCTGGAGGGGGTGTCCGCGTACAGAGTCCAGGCATGACCTTGGTCCGCGACCCGTTACTACAGCCTCCAGCCTGCCCGATGGGGATCAACTTACTTCATTCCCCTCCGAAAAGGGCGAAAAAGAAAACCGACCCCCGAAAGCAACCCACGGATTCGAGTTACGTTTTCGGGGGTGAATCTCCCAAGACCGGTGTCTGGACTTGAGACAAGGTGCTGTGTGTTATGAGGTGATCGGGCCAGCCAACCCTTCATGGCAACAGTCAGCAGATTCGGTTACAGGTGCACTTGCTCGTCAGGCTCAACTCTCGCTGGCCCTCGCTGCCGCAGACCCACGTCAGCCTGGCCCTGGCGGGGCCTGGCGGGGCCGAGCGACGTCGCACGTCCATTTGATGTAACTTCGCCTTTTCTCCGCTGGTGTGCCATTACCAGTGTCGTGCCGCGGCCCCGCCAGCCAGGGCCGAGCCAGGGCCGAGCCAGGGTCGCGGAGGCGGAGCGCGGAGCGGAGCAGGCAGGGGCTGCACTGTTGCTAGGTGCCCGCGCGCCAGCTGCCAGGGTGCACATGCTGGGGGTGGTTCCTCCCCCCCCCCCTCCCCCTCGATGTGTACCCTGGGGCGCCGTGGCGCTCACCTGCGTTGCGTTTGTGGCGCTGGTGCTTCTGAGTGGCGCCATGAAGGCTTCGAGCGAGAGGCTCGGTTTGACGAGGTTCCAGTGAGGCCGCGCCAGATTGGAGGTTAGGTTAGGTTAGGCTCTATCTACAGTCCTGCCACGAGCCCAGGAGTCCCGATGTTTTTGTCCGTCCCGTGTCAGCCTGCATCCTGCATCGGCCCGCCTGGCCGAGCGCCCTCGCAGTCTCGGAGGGCTGGTCCTGGGACCAGCAGGAACAGCACTTTTCCAGCCACCCGCCCCAACGCCCCAAACTCCGCGGCCCCGCGCTCTGGGCTGCACTCGCCGCCCCCAGCTGCATCTCCCTTGACCTACTTTCCGCTGGAGCCTGACCTATTTTCGTACAGGCTGCGCTTTACACAGCGACGCTGGACGTCCCGGATTGCACCCCCGTGGCAAAAAAAAAAAAAAAAACTTTACATGTGCGAGGAAGGCTTTCTGATGCCCTTGTCTTGTTGAATGTTGCAGCCAAAGCGGCTAGGCAATTTTTAAATAAAATACCATTTTTGATATGTTTTTGTTTTGCTTGGCCATGCTTAGCACGTTTGAGCGGAAATCCCCGGTCTCGCACCCCATTCTGACACGCTCCGCTCCGCTCAGCTCCGAGCGCCGTGTGCATGGTTGGCTTGGTGCATGCACGGTCTCGCTGCAGCGCCAGCACATTCGTCTCTCTCGCACCCATGGGGCGTGCCACCAGGCTCCACCGTTCCGTAGGGGGTGCGAGAGAGACAAGCACATGGGTCACGGGACGAGTATCGACCGGGTACCCGGTAATGGGAGCGTGTACCGTGTGCCAGTCTGCCAGTGGGGAAGCCCGAATGGGACCACAATCTGCTCTTGAGGCGGAGAAACGGAAGACAAAGCCAAAGCAATCAAGTATAAGACCGGCATAGCACATATTTATTGTATTAAACTATTTCTCGACAATGTATACATTCATAAACCTATGCTTTAACATAACTTATGTAATCTGTATTTACAAATGTGTATTTATGCACATCAATATCCTCGAACAAAACAATACTGCTTATACAAATGTACTCATAAAGTCTCTCTCAAAATTTAGGTTAGTAACTTTTTATAATAATTATTACATTTTACAAAAGTGTAATGCAAACATTCCCAGACACACAAGTGCTCAGTACAGAATCACAAGTGAAGCAGGATGACACGTAACAATCCTTATGTTGCAAGTACTTTAAGTTCTGCAAACTAAATTTATTACAAATCCCTTTCACTCTTGGTACACGCGAACAAGCATATATTTGCACAGCAAAGGGTAACAACAAAGGCCAGAAGCAATTTATTAAGTGTAAAGTAAAATTTTCCTATAGTTTTCCCAAAGTTAAATAATGATGAGTAAACATCAACATTTGTAATTTTCATTGATTGCGAATCTTAACATTCAATTAGGTCACAGAACTTTGATTTACTTATGCAGGCAAGAAAGATAAAACAGAAGATGGTTGTGTTAGAGCAATGCTTAAAGGTACCACTAAACAAAATAGAGATCAGAGTTAATTCTATAAAAGGGCTTCATATACTGTGACATCTTAAACACTAAGTCTTGTTACCAGAAATAGCAAACAGTTCAAATCAATCCGCACAGAAAAGACAGGTAGATAAATGTAGCCAGAATGTATAAACAGAATAAGGCTAAACAATCTAACTCTTCCAGTAAAAGGAATTCAGACCAGGTTTTTTATTTAAAAAAAAAAAAAAAGAGTTCACGGTTCAAAAATGCTAAGAAACCATTCCAAGTTTGAGGAATATTCTTAAAATTGACAAAACATAGTAACCCTAGTTCAAAATTTGCTTGTAACGGATCAACAAAGCTATATAGGATTAAATTATTTCTACAATAGCCACTTTATTAATAAATTATGTGAAAATTCTTTTACAAAGTCAACAACAGAGAGTTAAGGGTTCTTACAAGAACTAACATGTCTTGTTGGGTTTGAATATGGTCTAAATTATGCAGACTTTCCCTCAGAGACAGAAAGAATGGGGAAGAAAAGAAACTTAACTTCTTAAAACAGCTTCATTGTAGCAGTAAATGGGAACACTTTTCCCACTCAGTTTGGCCATAACCAGATCATCCAAGGCATCATGTTAAAAACTATTGCTTTGATAGTGTGTAAGCGTTATTTCCAATTAATAAAATCTCAGTTTTGAACTTCCTCATGATCCTTAGCTATAATTAGTTTTGATTGTATCTCACATTGTACAATATTTTAACTCCTAGGCAAGAGGGCATACGTTTTGGAAAGACAAAATAAAGTGTCAGTTCAGTGATCAAATTAAATTTGCCAGAATGAGGGAAACACATGTGAAAAAAACTGAGAATTTCTAACTGAAAAATACCGCTGACTGCAAAGAAACAGGGCATCTTCTAAATTAAGTACTGTTCAACCTTGTCGACACCCACAAAGCAACTCTTGTGTTGCAATATGATTGGTCTGTTTCTCATAAGTGCAGATTTGCCTGAGGTGCAAATAAGCTGTGCAACACTTAAATAAAATGAAATAATATTTGTCACCTCTTCATCTAATTTGCATTTCATCAGCAACACAAATTTCTTTTTGATTAGCTAAGTAGATGTATCTGTACCCCTGTAAAAACACTCACAAGTATCAAAGGACAATGAACGACCATTATGCACAAGATAGTAATACATAATATTTCTTACTGGATATTTTGACAAAAGAGTCTCATGACAAGTCACATTAACATTAAGTACATTGCACTTGAAACTGAAGTGAAAACTCGAGGAAAAAATATTAACGCCAAACAAACTCAAACTAATTATCACAAACATGAAACACTAGAGTTCATCAGATTTATCAAATTTCGCATTTCTTTTAAAGCTGTTAACATTGATAACCTATTTTGATGTTTCTTTTAAAAATAAAGTACTGCAGAGGAGGAGGAATTAATCATACATTGAAGGTCCCAATTCTCATGGCAAGGATAGGGTATAAACAGTTCTTGAACATATGCTTAAATGAGAAACCCTTTCCTTTCACAGAGCAGATGGTTACCAAAACCGTAAGATTAGCCACAGTCACTGTGACTTTCCACAAACCATTATCCAAAGAAAAAAAATTCATGGGACATACAACACCAAAAACCCGCCAAAATATGTATTCTAGTACATAAAAGTAGTGCTCCATGGTCTTTTTAGCTCACAAACACTAAAATGCTAAGTTTGTTTTTCATACGGACAAGGAATCTATTACGACCTCCAAAATGAGGGGGATATTGCACTCTACAAATTTCACTAAGAAAATCAGAGGGAACACCCTTGCATAGGTTCCTGAGACATGAGCATACCATTAACTACTTTCATTGGATTTTTCAACACACAAACTAGCATTTAACAATTTAGTCCAAATCTAAGTGTCCATTGGAGCTGGCATTTTCTTCGGTTCCCTTAGTTCTAGAAACTAAACATTCTTAAAGGTGAACTGGATTGAAGGCGGAAGTTATCAGCAATGTTCTTACGTATTGACACAGAAACACAGCTGTGAGACAGCAGATAAAATATATTATAAATAAATTATATTCTACAGAAAACTATGGATAAAGATTGTTTGCAATTTTTTTCAAACACACTACAGGAGCACAGACAAAAGGAAAATCAAGGAATACAAGAAGTCATGTGAGTAAAATGTTGAAGTCAATTGTGACTGCACAGACACATCACAAAAACATAGACTTTTAAATAAATTTGACAAAAAGAAATTTACAACTTAAAAAGTATAAAATCAATAACAGAATGATAAATCATTTTCTTTTAAATGTACGGTTAGATGCAACAATCAAGCAAGTGGTAACATGTTCCAACCAGACAAATGTGCTCATTCAGTTCACTTTGTACTAGGGAAACGGGCGAGTACGCTGACAATACACACCAATGTTTAGTAATAAAATTTGTACTGCACTTGAACTTGAAAGAGAGAAAATCAAGCCAAGTAACAAAGAGAAAAGTAAATAACATACATCAAAATATTAATCAGCGGTTTGATAAATAGTAAAGAGCACTGGAAAATAACATGTAATGGATAGATACAGATATACAGTAATATTATGTTTTGACTTTGACTCACTGTAATGGCACAATCAAGACATGAAATGAACCCTTACTACTGCTGCTGCAAAGGATGAACAAATGCTTTGTGTTCCACCAGCTCAATCACAGATGCTTGGCTGTGATCCATGTAGTGGCGCTCGCCGCCAGCTGCCTGAGGGTGCGGTTGCTGCTGGTGATTTTGAGTTGGGGGTTGCTGCTGTGGCTGCTGCTGTTGCTGCTGGGGTTGAGTCGGCTGGGAAAGATTGCCGTGGGGGGGATTTTGTTGCTGAACCTGAACCTGAGCTGCTTGAGCCTGGGCCTGAGCAGCAGCTTGCCCTCCAGCACTTCTTTGGTGAGGTTCTAAGTGTTGCCGTTCATGCAGCACCAAGTGATTCTTTTGAAGGAAAGCTTTCCCACACTTGTCGCAAGCAAACCGACGAATTTCACAACCACCATTAGTGTATCTCTTATTGTGCTGCAAGAGTCCATGCTTTTGAGTGAACGCTCGACCACAATCTTGACACACATGTGGCTTGGGCTTGGGGACAATTCCACTGTGACTATGCAAATGGTTTGGTCTCCCACCCTGAAATTGAAAAACAAATTTGTCAGGACAAAATAATACATGGGAACAATGTGTGAAATGGTGGCAAAGTTTACCTTCATGTGATGATTGCCGTGTCCATGCACACCGTGGTTGTGCACGTGCCCGGCATGCGGGGCCTGAGACTGGGTTGGCGGCGCTCCCTGCGGTTGCGGGGTCTGGGACTGGGAAGGGGTTTGCGACTGGCTGCCCTGGGGTTGCGCGTGACCCGGCTGGCCCTGAGGGCCTGATCCTTGGTTTGCTCCTGAGCCTCCCTGACCAGGACTGAACAACTGGGTCAATCCCGGCTGTTGGTGCTGGAACGCAGCCGCCAAGCTGCACAAGTCAGTCACAAAACTTCGATCACCCGCGTGCAATCTCAAGTGTAAGGACAGACCCTCTCGACTTGAAAAACCATTGCCACATTCTCTGCAAAAAAGAAAAATGAATTTCACTGTTTGTCAAGAAAACTCCTGATAACAAAAGCAGCTGGGTTTTCCTTCATCATTTCTTTATTTTTGCTGGTATGTGGAAAGGTTTCATAGCTATGGTAAGAAAGATAAACACACTTACCGACAAACAAAGTTCTTCTCTTTGTCTCCACAGGTGTGAGCTGCCAGAGCAGATTTAGCGGTGAATGCTTCTCCACAGTGAATGCAAGAGTAGGGATGTTCCGTTTCTTCAGAAGCCGTGTGTAAACGAGAATGAGCCAATAATGTGCGTTTTTGAAGGAATTCTTTTCCACAAACTGCACATGAATGGGGAACTCTGCCATGGATACGTCCATGGTTCACTAGTTCAAATTTCCGAGCAAAAGATACACCACAATCTTGGCAACTGTAGGGACGCTGGCCTCCATGAAATCTGAAATTAAAAATATTGAGTTGAAAATTTGGAAACCAAACATGCTGCAGTTTGCAAGCTATCGCCCACCCATCCTAAAAGTTAAACCAGAATGAAAAGCAAGATTACCTTGAGTGCATGATGAGATGTTCCTCCTGTGAAAATGATTCACCACACTCTGGGCACACAAATGGTCTCTCACCAGAGTGAAACTTCCCATGGGTTACAAGATGCCTCTTCTGTGGAAATGTGCGCCCACATTCTTGACAAACAAATGGACGATCCCTACTGTGAACTCGAGCATGAGTCACCAAATGATGCTTCAGTGTGAAGGATTTGTTACATTCTTGGCAGGTGTAAGGTCGCTCGGAAGTGTGCAGCAGTAGATGAGTACTGTAACCAAAGGTTTCCAGATTTACTTTTCTCCCTGGCTGACATTATGTCTAATTGGGCCACAAACTATTTTTATCTTACCTGAGACAGTGCTTGTGAGCAAAACTTTTCCCACAATGGGGGCAGGCATGAGGTCTTTCACCAGAATGAACTCTAGCATGGGTCACAAGGTGGTGTTTAAGAAGGAATGTTTTTCCACAATCTTCACATGTGTGAGGCCGTTCCTTCGCAACTTTATCACTTGAAGGGGAATTTGCAACTGGGTTGTGCATGTCACTAGAATTTCCAGGAGGATGAGACGGAGTCACAGAATTCAATGTTGGGGGGGTTATCAGGGTAGCAACATTCTTCTTTAGGGAAAAGTCGTTCTCATCATTTGCTGAAATTTGAATTGGCCCATACGATGACATGAGGTGTTTTGGGTTTATGCTATTACTAGTCTTGGCCCCCTCGGGATTCGAAAACATGAGAGGATTAGCACTTCCACAAAAGAGGGAGTTGGGTCCCTCACATTGGCACCCTTTGTCGCACACATTGCTATAAGAAGTAGGAGCCTTTTTAGCTGTAGACACAATTGGTCTATTATGTTGTGGAGTGTTTGGCTGTAGACTATCACTCAGCAGGAACATTGTCCGATACATGAAATTATTGCTGTTCATGTTGAGATCCACTTTAGACTGCAGAGAGTGATATAAAGACTGACGCAGCTCTTCACCCTCGTCAGGCTCTTCTTTCAAGACAATATGACCGGGGGTAGAAGCCGGATCCTTGACTTGATCACGACCATCTAATCTCAGACGCTCCACTAAGTGGTCTGACACCACCTTCAGAGAGTTCAGTTGCATGAGCGACTCTCATGCCCCTCAAGCATCGTAAATTACTCAATCTGAAACAAATAAAACAACACTGGTTAAGAATAAAAGAGACTAGCAAGGTGTTCGATTCAAGAGAGAAAATGACAGAGTTCTCAACTAACCAGGCACAAGCATTATATAAAAACAAATATTCATCTTGCTATGCAATATTGATAGAAGTTAAAGGAAAGCACTCCATTTAAAAAGGTTAGCAACCTCTCACTACCGCATTACTACATTTTAAAAAGATGCTCCTACGTATCACTAGGGTGTCATCAACAGAACTGTGAACATAACCTCCTCACTATACAAACAATGAACTCCAAGGATTGTCAGAAAATTGAAGGAAGCCGAGAGGCTCTGTTGAAATGTCAAATAAATAAATCAACGTTAAAAAAGCAAGACGAATTTCGGACCGAAGATACTCATTTAGTCCACCGTGGATTAAGAAAACGGCAAAACCGACTAGGGAATAAGGTCAGAGGATGTGCGGAGACGCAATACTCCCATCGAGTTTTGAACTATTTTTGCGTCTAGGAGCGATAGAAATTTACAACGAACTAAATTAGGAAAGCACCGAGAGCAAAATAGAGTGACGGGAAGCGCGTGAAGAGAGCATCGAGAACGGTACGCCCAAAACTTGAGTCTGGCTTTCTTTCCCAATGTTTGTTTAGAGCCCGAGCCCAAGCCTGAAACCACCCATTTCGATCCGCGGGGTACATGAACTCCGGTCCCAAGTTTGCGGCCTCAACGTGGCTAAATTGAACACACAGAACAGTTGCTTACCTCATTCACAAGAAATGGCGTTTCACATCCTCCCTGATGCATGTAAAGTCCAGTTTTTCACAACAAATCACATAAAACGGTTAATTTTCTCAGCCATTTTGTCTCTGCTGCATCACATATCAGTCGCACCAACATGATTGTTTGATGAACAAAAACTCCCTATTAAGATCATCAAAATAACTTATTCTGACGTAGAAACAGAAAGTAAGTGTGATGTTTTGGTATGATAAAACACCGACAGTACATAAGTGAAAAGTTATCGAGCATATTCTGGATGCATGAGGTGTAGAAGGGATTTTCAGACTAGGTTTATCCCGTTTCAGCGGTACGTTTGAATACGGTTGGGGGTTGAACAACTAATTTGACACTACTTTATGAGGAAATATGTACTTATTCAAATTATTTATTGTACGTCCATTATAGAACGGAGAAATTAGCATGTTACAAATTTATTTATCTATTCAAAACAATCTTCGCAATTTCTTTTTTGGCCATAAAGCTCGCCATAGAGCGTAGAGTTCTCCAGGAGTTAATTCTTGATGCACTGGATATACGCGACGAACGTTCTGCAAAAGAGATACTGGGACTTAACAGCTGTTCAACTTCAAAATTAAAATCAAATATGATAAGTATTTTACACACATCCATATTTACTCCATGGACTTGAATACAATGCATCAAAAGTAACAGATCTGAATGGCTGAAAAACTGAGGGAAATACACGTGTTTAGAAAATACTACCCAAACAGAAACATGGACAAAAATCAAAGCACTATCATCATTGATACACTTACATATTTCTTAGGCTTTGTAGGCTTTGGAGCCACTTGTAAGTGATTGCACTCCAAACACAAATTTACTTGTGATGCATGAGTTGAAGACTGAAGTTTTTCATCTGGAGATGAATTTAATTTTTTTGTATTTAAGTCAGAAACAGAGTTTTCAAGCCTTTTCAGGGGCTTCTTAAGCTGCAAAGCCTTGTTTGGATGGGGAGTACCTAAAAAAGAGCAAGGCTGTAATGCTATAATGTGTGGAGCTAATTTGATGCAGTCACTCCATGCCTTTTTTACCTTTGATTCTGAGGACCTTTTCAACCTTCTGATTACTTTTCTTTGATGGTGACTGATGGTGGGTGGGACTGTTTGTCTTGTCGGCTGCGAGACGTGTCTTCAAAGCGAGACTCTTTCTTGGATGAGGTGTACCTTCAACATAGAACAGACATCATGTAGGGACATCATAAATTTTATGAGGTAACTTTGTTTAAGGCTTGGTTTTGCATTACATTTCCCCCTAGGATTCCTCTCAACATGCTGTCTACTCTTTAGGAATCTGAAAACATCCTCGGCACAACCTCTCTTTTTAACTATGTGACACATTTTGTTTATCAAAGATGGACTAGGAGTTCTTATGTCTGCTTCCAGAATATGCACTATCGTCACAACTAAAGACAATTGCTGATCCTACCAAATTAATTAATGAAGATGAGAATTAGGAGGATGGACATTTATCAAACAACGTTTTGTAAATGGAATACTGACTTCTGGGGCAATGTCGAGATAGTGTTGCAGGATGCCTGTTGCATGAAGTATGTCAGCCATCTGGCAAGCTTTGCTGTTGTGAGTAACTACCACATCCATAAGCATCACTAGACTGGAAAACAATGTTGGCGAAGAGTCCAAGTGCAGACAATTTCTGGTCTGCACAACATTTTCCAAGTGCTCTTCCATTTTATGAGTTCTTTTCAGGGCACTGAAATAATTTGTTTTCAGAAGGCAAAAGTATTACTTACTGAGTTTCAATGCAGGAGAAAATGGAAATGACAGGAAGAAATAAAATCACCAGATGAGAGATTGAAGACCCCCATTTCGAACAAAAAGGTTTTGACCTTCTGCAAATCGAGATGTTACACATCGGCACAAGAACAGTAATTCTTTTAGAATAGGGGTCATGGTAGCATCAGCATCATAATCAATCAGCCAAATATTTAGAAAATTAACAACCTAAACAATTTAAAATATTTGAAACTCTGGAAATATTTCCTAAAGAAAATGTGATCAGAAAAATACTCATGTGTATTGAAGATTACTTTGGGAATAACTTTTTCCCCAATCATCATCCTTGTCTCAGCTGATATTGCACATACTATGCAATTTACAATCCAATTTATTTCCTTCAAAGGAATCTGTGCAGAATTCAATTGTAAAAATAAATTGACATACTGTTGGATTCATTTATCTAGTGAAAGGATCCTTACCTCAAATGAGTCAATGTTGCTGAAAATAGTAAGAATGGAACATAGGCAACCTGAAGAGCAAAGCATCTGTATGGTCTTCTCATTGGTCAAGTATGTCAGCAACTCACAGACAACAGTCAATTTAACTCCACCAGAATTCAACAAGCTTTTCACTTGATACATCAATGCCAAGATTATGTCCTGAAAATAAAAGAATGCTCCAGGAGAATTTGTCTAAGGAATAAAATTAAAGAAAGGGCACAGACTGGAAAATAAATCAAAGCACTACGATCACATGCAAATACAGAGACTTGCTGCAGAAGGCTTTGTCAAGTAAAGTAAAGGAGTGGATTGAGGGAGATCTTATGAGTGTAGTTTGGACCTCCACTAATCAACTGTTAAAAATGTTGAGCTTACATACGCATGTAAAAAAGAAGAGGAAATGTACAAACCGATGGCAGGCTGGCGTCCTCTGTCAGTTCACTGATTATAGACAGAGCACTTTTGACAACTTCCACATTTTCATGAGCCATAAGTACAGCCATTAACCTACTGACTATCTCCTTCAGTACCTCTAATGAACACGTTTCCACTCTTAAAAGTGCACACAGACAGCAAAGACTCTTCACCAGACTTTCGGTTTCCTCAGAGGCCGAATACTTTTCAATTTTCAGTAGACAATAACCAATCGATCGTTCCATTTTCAGCAATGTCTTCGTCTTTTAAAGCAAGAAACAATGATCCCTTGATCAAACCTCAAGACCTGTCGGAACCTGTTTAGTTTTCCCTCCATTACCGCGCTGCGCAGTCGGCACCGGCAACCAATCAAGTTTACCAACCGTGAATGTCAAACATTTTTCCGGCGCTCCTTCTTTGTTAAAAGAACAAAGTTACGTGAATAAATCATTTGAAAAAAAATATAACTTATAATTTCAAGATTATTTAATCTTTTCTTTTGATCATCGAGCTTCTTTCTTCCCGAAAACTTGTCCGTTCGTTTGGCAGCATTGTCTGTGAACGAAAGGTGTGGAACAGGAAGGCGACGTCTCCGTAGTCAATTTCTGGACGTCTCTTCCGGTTAAGAACCGCTTTCGTGAGGTACTGAGCGTTGATATTACAATTATTTTATCCTTCTGCATCTGTGTTTTTGTTCAATTTTCGTGTCTCACTCTGATCTGAGAAGTAAATTTACTGTCTAAGCTGTCCATTTTGCCGTTGGTTATTTATCGGGGTGGTTTTCGTACATAAAAATTCTTGTGCGGCTATACGCGGCGTGTCATAACCTACGTGTTTACACACTAGCACAGTTTGTGTGTCTCAAATTTTTCAAATACGCATGCCTATTGTCGTACTTGTGTTGTCAATGGTGTGGGGTTTTTCAGAACCCAGCTGAACTTCTTTAATCCAGTAGTTTCATTATTTTAGACTTTTGTATGTGTAGCTCCACATGCAGCCGACTCGGCCGTAGTCAGTTTAGCTATTCTGCCTCTTGACTCATTGTGGGGCTAATTCGAATGTTTGTGCTTTTCACGTCTGTCCCCGATTTTCTCTGTTTCTAGGCCTATCATTTGCCAGTGTTCAGCCGCTCGGACTTGCGAATCCTGGTTTGTTGTTAAATGCTAGTTTCTGACAAGTCTGTTTGTGCTGCTTTCAGGTTCTTAGCTCGTCAAAATGGGACGGTACTCGCACGAGCCCGAGGTGGCTACCAAGTCATGCAAAGCCCGAGGATCGAATCTTCGTGTGCATTTCAAGGTAGGTTGTAAACATAACCTTGCTACTGACTGTTCTTATGCTTGTGTAATGTACTCTTGTCACAATCCTGTCTGGTTAAGAACTGCTTGGCGTGTTATTCCTTTTATGTTATCTAATGTCTAACTGGTCTACCTTATTTTTACAGAACACCCGTGAAACCGCCAAGACCATCAGGAGAATGCCCCTGAGGAGGGCTGTCAAGTACCTTAAGAATGTTATTGAACAGAAGGAATGCGTTCCTTTCCGTCGCTTCAATGGTGGTGTTGGCCGTTGCGCACAGGTCAGTCCAGAGTCATTTACACAGCTCATATTTATGTCTGTCTCCAATACAAGGTTTTAAATTCTTAAACTATCTCACTGAAACGTATGAAAGGAAAATATTTACTGAATAAGTTACCATCTTATTGTTTACCTTTGATGGCAAAATTGGTAGCAGACTAGTTTGCTACAATCTGCCTCAGTGTGATGATGACAAATAAACCTAGCTCGCTTTGAGAATGATGAAGAGACTTTTGTTCCCTATTAATTTTGTCTGAACAATTAACCAATATCTGGTTCTCATTTGCCTTGATGGTAACCTTTCTTGCTGTTAAGATATCTTGATATTTTTGCCCCAGTGTGATGATGACAAATAAACCTAGCTCGCTTTGAGAATGATGAAGAGACTTTTGTTCCCTATTAATTTTGTCTGAACAGATAATAGATTCCTGGTTTTCACTTGTCTTTATGACAAAATTGCTGCATGACTAGATGTTTTGTTCCCGTCCCAGTGTGATGATGACAAACAAACCTAGCTCGCTTTGAGAATGATGAAGAGACTTTTGTTCCCTATCAATTTTGTCTGAACAATTATTCAATGTCTGGTTCTCATTTGCTTTGATGGTAATCTTCCTGGCTGACAAGATATCTTGATTTATCCCACCAGTGTGATGATGACAAACAAACCTAGCTCGCTTTGAGAATGATGAAGAGACTTTTGTTCCCTATCAATTTTGTCTGAACAATACGTTTGTATCTGGTTCTTGCTTTCCTTAAGGGCATCTTTGCTTGTCAGCCATATCTCTCGATCCTGCTTTAATGTTATGATGACAAATTAACCTAGCTCGCTTTGAGAATGATGAAGAGACTTTTGTTCCCTATCAATTTTGTCTGAACAATTATTTGATGTCTGGTTTTCACTTGCCTTGATGCTAGAATTGCTAGCCGTCTAGAATTGACCATTTTGCCTTTGTGATACGTCCTCTAATAGTTAGCCCTTGAAGATTGAAATGATGACAAATTTATCTAATCTAAACCTAGCTCTCTGAGAAAGGTGAAGAGAAAATTTCGTCTGAAGAATTTATTATTGCTTGACTGAATGGAAACTTTGCTGTCCAGCTAGTTAATCTGTTTCTGCCTTTGCCATGATCTCTTGAGAATGGTGCAGAAATGTTTCCTTTGTAGTCAGTAAGTCCTCAAGTGCCTCATAATTGGAATGATGACAAATTTTGCTATTAACCCAGCTCATTCTGAAAATGGTGAAGAGAATTTTGTCTGAACAATTTGTAAATGGTTTTTACTTAAATGGCACCTTTCGCAACCTAGATGGCAATTCTCTTTGAGAATGGTGAAGACTGAAACAAGTGTCTTTGTTGCCTTTTATGAGCAGGTCCTTGTTTGCCTAAAGATCAATGTGATGACAAATCTATCTATTCTAAACCTAGCTCTCTGAGAATGGTGAAGAGAGAATTTTGTCTGACTAGCTGTGATTTGTTCTTCCAAGTGACCTCACTTTAATTGGTTCTCCTGCTCCTAAACTTAATTTTCTTGTTCCAGGCTAAGCAATGGGGTACCACACAGGGTAGGTGGCCCAAGAAATCAGCTGAATTCCTCATTCAGCTGCTCAAGAACGCTGAGTCCAATGCTGACTACAAGGGTCTGGATGTGGACAGGCTGGTCGTAGACCACATTCAGGTGAACCGTGCCCCTGTCCTGCGCAGGAGGACGTACCGCGCCCACGGTCGCATCAACCGTAAGTTAGATTTCTTCTTGTTCCGTTACAATGTTTTGTGGGCTTTTTGTTAATATTGTAATATTTCCGCAGCCTACATGAGCTCACCTTGCCACATCGAGGTCATCCTGACCGAAAAGGAGGATGTCGTCTCCAAGGCAGCGGAGGATGAGCCCACCAAGAAGAAAGTTTCCAAGAAGAAGTTGGCTAAGCAGAAGGAAAAGATGATGAGGGAATAGGCTGTATCAATCGTTTCTTCTCAATAAAAATTGTAAAATCCAGTTTTGTGGTTTAGTCTGCCCTCCTGTCAAAACAAGAAGTTCAGTTATGCAGTGATGGTACACTTTCTCATGCTTCAGAGATCCACTTCACTAGATTAAATTTTACCGCCGTGCATGGTATTTCCCACCATCGGTCAATGACGCTGGCCATCGGTTTCTGAAGTGATTCCCACAGTAACAAGTGACTCGGATGAGCTGAAGACGTGGTTTTTCTGTCGTTTCGATGCTTAATGGGTGTCGCGCGAAATAGTTGCCGTCAGTCTCGCTGCTGGAGGGTCCTTGTCAAGCGGAGTTAGTTGCCCCGGCCCGAGCGAGGCCGAGGAAGGCCCCTGTGATGGGGAGGGTAGGCAACCCAACGGGCACGCGAGTGCTGCGGACGCAGCGCGGACGGCGTCCCTTGGCGCTCAAGGCGTCCATTACGGCCGTCCATGTTGGACGGGCGCGTCGCCTTGATCGGTTCGGTGGCCATGGCTGGTGTTGGCATGACGTTAGAGAGGCTACACCTCAATTGATCGTACGCCGTTTCGGGCCCGGTGACAGCAAGGTTGGCACTGCTCACGACGTGCCGTCCATTCAAAGAGCAGATATCTTCTGTCTCGCCGGCGGACCACGCTGCCGAGGGAAGACCACTGAAACCTAACCTGGAGCGGGATCTAAACAGGAACCGTCCAAGCGCAAGAGCGAGGGATAGAGAGAACGGCACTAGTTAAATCTACTGACCGTTTCCTTCCCTTCTCTCGCCTTGGGCCGTCCGTCACCAATTTACAGGGACGGGCCAGCCAAGGGCCAGCGTAGCCAGCGGGCTGACTCCGAGGGTCGTTTTCGTCGCTCTGTCTCTCGCGCACCCACGGGGAACGCCCCACGAGTGAGAGAGGGACAGAGCGACGAATCAGTCTGCAGGGACGGGGCCGGGCCGTGTCCCTGTCGGTCCTGTCGGTGCTCGGGGCTGCCTGCCGCCTTGCTGCCGCGCGCCGCGTCCTCGTCGTGCCGTCCCTGTCCCCCGTCGCCTTGGACGCCACGCCGCACCGCGCGGCTCCGCGTATCCGCGGCATGGGCCGTGGGGCCGCGGGACCGCTCTGCTCTGGTCTACGGCATGGCCAGCTCTTAAGTTGACTCTTGTCGTCGCGGCCAATTCCAGCGGCTCGTCCAGCGCTACGCGACGCTACGCGACGCCATGGGCCGTGAGGCCGCCGCCAAGGCGCAGAAGGCACGCTGCACGTCCACGTCGACGGCCGGGTTGGTTTGGCTTTGGCGTGCAGAGCAGTGCAGAAAGCGGAAGACGGACCGCGACGGCCGACGGAAAGGAAAGGGGGTTCACCCCGTGTGCCATCTCAATGTTGTTGACGATGGCGCTGGAGTGAACCCGTCCCCAGCCCTTGCCTTGCTTGTGTCCAGCCGATTGCGGCTCTGCTCTGCTCGCGTTGGTCATCGGTTGTCCGTCGGGGCGGCGAGGGCACGGCGAGGGCACGGCGAGGGACTGCGGCGGCGTGGTGGCGGGGCCGGGGTGGCGGGGGCCGCGCGGTGCCGGGCCGCGCGCCGCGTCCCCAACCGCCACGAGCTGAGCGCTGAGCGTGCGGTGCGGTGCGGCTGGCTGGCACTCCGCTTGGCTCTTCTCTTCGCTTCACTCCGCTTGCCGGCGCTGTGCAAGACAGTCGTGTGCCGAGACACTCCCGCGGGCTAGAGTCCCAGACGCGGCGCGAACCGCGGCCAGCATCCCAGCAGCCTTGTCCAGCGTCCACAGCGTCCAGCGCGGCGTCCAGCCAGCCCCTGGGGCCTAACCTAACCGCGGCTCCTCCGTCAAGGCCTAGTCCTAGAGTGCCCCGCCAGGCCGCCAGCCTTGCCTGCCCGCGGCCTCCCGCCGCGCCCCCGCTGCCCCCGCCAGCCCGCCGGCCACCTGCTCGCGTCGCCGTCGGCTGCCGTCGGCCTCCGCCTCCGCCGCCCTCTCTGAGTCCGAGCTCTCTGGACAGCAGCCTGGCCGCCCCACGGCCCCCCTGCGCCTGGCCCCGCCTGCTCCGCCCGCTGGCCGCTTGCTAGGCCACAGTGTGAGCGACCCCCCCGTCCGCCCCAAGACCAGCCAGACCAGCCCAGGCAAGGCCCGGCCCGGGCCCCGCACGCCCCGCAGGCCGCCAAGAGCACTTTCGCCCAGGACCACGCCAGCCTCCAAAATACGCGCATTTCAGTGTCAGTGTCTGGTCGGCCAGAGAATAAGGACGCCGCAAGTTCCCAAGCACCGATTGTCGTGCAAAAAGAAACGTTGGTCGCGCGTCACGGTAAGTGCCAGAGCGGCGCTGCCCGCCCTGCCGCGGTGCCAGTGTGTGCGTGTGCTGTGCAGTGCTGCAGTGCTGTGTCTCCCTCAAGCGGACCTCCCCTGCGGTAACCCTGCGGTAAACCTGCGGCTGCTCGTAGATACCCCGCTGCGGAGATACTCCGCGCTCTGGGGTGCTCCTAGTGCTGGGGGTAGAGCAGCAACAACTCTGTGAGTCACGGTCAGGGAAGAGACCTCGGAGCCGAGGCAACCGCAGATTTTGGTGGTTATTGCGAGTGCAAATTAGTGCTGAGTAAAGAGGTTGTGACTGGTCCATGCGGTAAGCCTCGGCCCGGTGACCGAGACTCACCAGTCTCGTACGATTCCGAACCGAGGCCTCTCCTCATGTTCATTTCTCCCAATTTTCCAGAAGGACTTTGTCGTATTTTCTTTCGCGGCCTCTGCATTTTAATTGTACACTGACTTCATTATTTTAATTTGCGGCTCAAATTCTCTTTCAAGATAATTTTAAACATTTGTATGTTTGACTGCTTGTACGAGTCGCTGCCCAGCGATCCCGGAGGGCCGTTTCGTCGCTCTGTCTCTGTCGCACTCATGGGGCGTCCCGTAAGCACGCAGGGGTGCGAGAGAGACAGAGAACGATCTTTCGGAATCGCTCTGCAGAAGCTCCAGAAGCTGCGCTGGAGAAAGTCCAGGCGCAAGTCCGCCCCCTGCGCCCCGCGTTGGCTGCGTCGCCCACCCCGGTGCTGCTCCGGGGCGGCCTAGGGCGGGCGGCCGGGCCACGCGCGGGGTGCGCCGCGTCCGGGGCGGCAGTTCCCGGCGAATGCTCTGCCGCGCTTTGCGTTCAAACGCGCGGTTCGAACGCCAAATCTGAAATGCGGCGGACTCCGAAGCGGGTACCCGAGGGTACTCTGGTGGCCCGTGCCCGCTGGCCGCTGCCTGCAGGCAGCCTGCTGCCGGTACCCGCTTGGTCCAAACCGGTCGCGCGCGCTGTCGCCGCCAGACTGCGCAGCGCACTGCTTCGCCATCGCCATGCTTCGCCATGCTTCGCTCAGCGCGTGCTGGGGCCGCTGGGACACGAACCGGTTTGCCAGTCCTCCCGTCCTGTCTATGTTTCCTCATCACAATTCTCGCACCGTATCTGTGTACCGACTTTTGATGGCCCCTCCAATCATCGCCCGATTTTGTTGCTGCTCCTCTTTCTTTCGTTCTCAGTTTTGGAACGCCGGCGGCTGATTGGGCCGTACTGTGTGTGTGAGAGTGTGTGTGTGTGTGCGTGTGTGTGAGTGTTTTCGTCGCGACGCGCGAGCATCGCGTCGTGTTGCCTAAACGGCTGCATTATGGCACAGCCGGGCACAGCAGTGGCACAGCAGGACAGCAGCACACAGCGGCTCGTCAGAGGTTCAGCAGTTCTAGTCCATCTCGTGAAGACTCGCGGACGGACCGCCAGCGTCCAATCACTTTGCTGCCCCCCTCCTCCCCCTCTCTCTCTTTCTCTCTGTCCCCTCCTTCTCTCCCCCTCGTCCTCCCCCTCCATTCTTCACGACGATGATTCTGTCCCACTGTGTGGGGCCCTCGCAAAGCTCACACTCTGTCTGCACTCTGGCCTTCCGCGAGTAGTCTAGAGGGGAGGGGGGCTTATCACACTGAACGCTCTGACAGTGCCCTTCCCTACCCGGCCGCCGCTTGCTTAGCGTCCAGACGCGTCCTCCCCTAAAGTCGCTCCGTCGCGTGCTTTGGGATTCAGTGGTTAATAACCCTCGGAGAAACGGCCGTACACAGTTTATTTGGCTGCTACGCCCAGGGCGACTACAACATGAGGCCCGCCACGAGCACGAGGAGAGGCAGCGCCACTGGCGGCGTGGAGGCAGACCCCCCTTTGCCTTGCGGGGTGGTTGCCGTGGGGTCCGTGGCGGTGGGGTCCGTGGCGGTGGGGTCCGTTGTGGCGGTCGTGGGGTCCGTGTTGGCGCCCGGCGGTGTGTTGGGTTTCCCCGTGATGGATGCTGGATAAGTCGAAGTCGTCGGTCTTGGAGTCGCCGTGGGTGTCGCCGGGGCCTCTGTGGTCGCAGACGTCGCCGTGCTAGGTGTCGAGGACGTCGGCGGTGACGGTTCGGCGGTCCCCGGCGTTCCGTCCGTCGTCGAGTCCGTCGGGGTGGTGTCCTCCGGGGACGTTTCGAGTGTCGTTTCGACGGACGTGTCGTTAACGAGGCTCGCGGGGGTCATGGCCGACACGATGCTGAAGGACGGCACCGGCGGCACCGTCGCCGCCCGCGGCCCTCGCTTGTCGAAGAAAGCGTGGCAGTCGAACGTGGGGCTGCACTGCTGCATGCCCTCGTCGAACCATTCGGCGCTCGGCAGGCCGTCGTCGTCCTCCTCGGCCTCCGCGCCCTCCCGCAGCCGCCTCGGCGAGCCGCAGGCGTCGTGGAGGCCCCTCGCGCAGTCGCAGTAGAGGCCCCGGAGGCAGAAGTCGAGCTGCGCGGGGCCGCGGTACAGCTGGAAGCGCGGGGCGTTGGGCGAGCACGCGCACCGCACCCACACCCCGCTTGTCGGGGCCTTGGTCGGGGCTGGCGGGGCCCCCGGGGCCGTCGGGGCGCTCAGCAGGGCCAGGAGCACTGCAACAAAGGGCCGTCACCCTTCCGGACACCAGCGTGCTCAGGTGGTTAGGTTAGGTTAGGTTTGGATCGAACCACGAAGGGTCAGTTCAGGAAAGCGAAGATACTTCGTCCCGCGCAAACCTACCTCACGATTCTACGAATATTATTGGCGTGCGCAGATATTCTGAAAGGAGGCACAGGTCTGGTGCTCAGTCAGACTAGTCCTCGCAAACAGCGACTCAGGTTTTGCCCCGCGTTCGACAAACCGAAGTCTTGGGGGTTCTCTCCACAACGCGTACTACAATTTTAAGCGACCTGAAGGGGTCGGTCGTTGGCGACAGCGCGTGCGGGCACTCACCGATCTTCCAGTCCATCATCGTCCTGGCTGCGTCGGGGCTGCGGCCGTCGCTGGGGGACAGCGGCGGTGGTCTGTCGGCCCGCCCAGGACGCGGACGAGGCCCAAGGGAATCTCGCTTATCGTTGCTCCCGAAATATCCACGGTGCTGATAGGGGTTGCGCAAGGCTTAATGCAACGATTAGGCATTTCCATAGAAATATTAATCGTTGGACGGTTGGGTTTGGTCAGGTCAGGTTAGGATCAAGCTCTGGAAGGGTCATTTCAGGAAAGCAAAGATACCTGCCCCGTAGTGACTGGGGAATCGTGATGCCAGGACATTGTGGAAAACTGAGGGGTGGTAGCACTTCCTTCTGAATGAGAAACTCGATTAATCTCGGTGTGAATCCGTATACCAAATTCAGGGAAACACTCGCCCGACCGACGTTGCGTTGCAGTGGCTCCAATGCTATTGGTCCTTGCTTATTGGTGTTCTAGGCTGCTGGCCAAAGATAAGCCCGCTTCTGCCATATGTGTGTTAATCCCTGGCGACCACAAGCTCGACCATCAGGCATCTTTCGGACCATCGTACACGCGAGGTACAACGCAACCAGACGTTCGTGTACACTGTGTCTGTGGAAAGTGATTAAATCTCTGAAAGTACAGCGGTTTTTGCTGACTTTGAGCGACTACTGCGTCGAAACTAGCTCTGGTCAAAGACCTCCCTGGCGGTATCCCTGTTGCAGCTCCTGCATTGTATAACGCATCCTGCTAAATATTATCAGTGCGTGGTGCGGGAAGGCCTGCATGCTGCATTCTGGGTGGCTGTGATGAGAGAGAGAGAGAGAGAGAGAGAGAGAGAGAGAGAGAGAGAGAGAGAGAGAGAGAGAGAGAGATAAGAGAGCCCTGGCCGCACCGGGGCTGGTCCGCGACAAAGCGTCGCGCTGGTCGCGCTGGTCGCGCTGAGCGAGCAGGCAGACACACTGGATCGACGAGTTCTTGGCGGGCGTCCGGCGGGCATTCCCTCGCGCCACGTTCCGAAGCCACCGTGCCCAGCACAGTGACTCACTTGACACCGGCCCTTGGTCGACTCTTGCACCGACAGAGAGCTCAGTTTGGAGCAGAAAGTTTGACATAGGCGCTGCGGCCACGTCGCGCTGCTCTGCTCGCAGGGTCGGAGGCAGGCATGCCTCGGCAGGTTGGCAGATTAGGCCCAGGGCAGTCCTCGCCGGGTTGACTCACTCCGTCCCGCCGTGGTCCCGCCCCTCGCGAGGCGAGGCGAAGCGAGGCGCGGCGATTGTGTTGTGCAGGTCATGAACCCGAGCAATCGCGTTGCCAACCGTGGAGCCGCAAAAGCGCGCAAAAGGCGAGACGCGACGCCACCGGTTCCATTGAACGGCAGCCTCTCGATCAGCGACGGCTGTCGACCGCTGTCACCCTCGTCGCTCTGTCTCTCTCGCCCCGTCAAGGAATCTTATTTTGAGCCAGAGGTGGCGTCGGACGCAAGGCAAGGGGTGGCCGGGGCCGGGGAGGGTGCCCGTCGTCCGGCTCGATCCGGCTCCAGTCAGTTTGAACCGGTTTGATGCTCCGCCATGCTCCGCCATGCTCCGCCATGCTCCACCGTTCCGGCGGCACGGCGTTCGCGGACAACACCGAGTAGTCTTGCCTACTGTCCAGGGGCGATAAGCCGAAAAGTAAAGTGAAAGCACGCCGACACGTGGATGCAGTCGCAGCGCCGCCGCGGAGGGGCTGGCGCTGGCGGTCGCACTGCTGGGTCGGTGGAACAGTGTGAAACGCGAGGTAACCCGGGCGCCGCTGTGCCAAAAACGCGCGTCGCGGGCCAGGGGGCCCGACCGGGCGGGCAGCCGCAAGGCAGCCGTCTCGCCGTCTCTGTCGCACTCGTGGCGGGTACTGCAGGGTGCCGCAGGGGTGCGAGAGAGACAGAGCGACGAGACGATTCCTCGGAATGGCTTGGCGGGCCATATCGCGGGCCGCGGGTCGGTCACTGCTTGGCCGAGCACGGCGAGCACGGCGAGCAGCACGTCCGGCCGGGCGGACCAGCCGCGCCAGCGAAGCTTGAGCTCCCCGTCGTCGGGTATCGCCGCCCCGCTCGGCCCGGCCGCCCCGAGCATCCGCTTATCGCCGTGGTGCAGCCTGGTCACCGAGGCCGCCGAGGCCGCCGAGGCCGCCGCGCAGTGCCAAAAGTGCATACCGATTAGAATCCACTGCCCGTTGCCGTTTCGAACGGCGCCGTATCGCCAGCGATGCCCGCTTTGGCCGTCACGTGACATCGTCGCAGGCCTTCCTCAAAGACCTGCCAAAATTTTCCTCGAAGGGGCAGTAAACTCCTTTTCAGCGCATTCTGTTTGAAAATTGCCAGTGTGCTCGTACACGCTCCCGTTCGTTGTCCCTGTACCGTCCGTGCGCCAGTCGCTCTTTGGCAAATAACACAGCTGCTGAGTGTCAAGCTGCCGTGGCGGCTACGCGAGGCGGCGAGGCAGCGCCTGCCTATCACGCCGCGGTGCCGCCGTGCCGCGGACCAGCCGACCAACGCCCAAATAGGCACGTCCTTTCCAGGAACTCTGCAGAGAACAAATCGGTCTTCCAGTGGCGAGCGCCTGCGAAGTTCAGGGTAGGCAACTTAATGCACGCCGCCGGAGCGGGTTGCCTATACCGGTGGGTTGCCTACCCGCAGGGCGCTCCGTGGGACTGCTGTGCGGAGGCTGCGGAGTCCTGTCCCGTCGGGTGGAGGTCGCAGTGCCTTCCTCTGCTTCCGGGCTCAGCCAGCGTCACTGGCACACTGGCGCACTCAGTGCGAAAAAAAAACAAACTATCTATCCACCACTCGGAACATAATCACCCGTCGTACAGATGGCTGCTATGAAAATTTGGCGCACGGTCTTTGTTTGACATTGACTTTTGCAGTGCTCCAGCGCGCAGTTTGGTAGAGACGAGTGATGCAACACTACGGCACACTCGAGCACACTTGGCTGTGAACGAGTTGATTGTAATTCCACACGGACGATGACGGGGACGTTTGTGCATGCCTTGGCCCACTGGCAGTGGCGTGGTGCCCGTGGTCATTAACCCCGCCGATCCGACAAGGACGGACAGGCAGTGCCGGCAGTGCCAACCTGACGAATTTAAATTGGATTCAAATTCCAGGACGACCGGTATGCACTGGGTGACAAAGTAAGGAGATTTACTCTAAAAGTAACCTTATTCCGAACATGACGCTCGGGACGGACACACAAAGTTGGAATCTGTGTCAATAATTATGTTGGCACTCCTGTCTTTCATTTTCGGGTGTTGTTTGTGTTGTGTTTCTTTTTTTTGGCGGGAGATGGGCTTGCCAGCGCGGTTCTTTCGCGGGGTGGCGCCATCACAATAAAAAGCGTTTGCAGAAAAAAAGGAAAAGATAAGATTTGGCGCGTGCAGCTGGTTTGGCGAGCTTTTGCCGCGCCTGGACGGGTAGCCGGGGCTGGCCGGGGCAGCCCGGTGGAGAGAAGGACCTTCCGTGACACTTCCTCTCCAACCCCAACGACCCTGGCGGTGCTGGCGGTGGAGCCCGTCCTCTGCCGGCCACCCCGGAGGCTGGGCCGCATTCCTCGGTGTCGTCCGGCAACAAATATGACGGCGTGCCGAGGCCTGCCGAGGCCCCTCGTGGCGCGGCCACCACACCGCACGTGACTTCAGGCCTTGTATCGCACGGGCTCTGCTTGGGTTCGGTTGGGTTAGGTTAGGCTTTCAATCCAAATCCAACGTGCTTGGTCACTAAATGATAGTTTTCGTACCAGTTAATGATGTAAATACCACGGGGGTTCGCAGTGCGTGTACCAAGTGCGTATAAACGGTGCGAAAAAGTGGCGGCCCGAATTGCGCAGCGTGGCAGTGTGTGGCGCCGCGCTGGCTTGCCCGACCTTAGCACATTGTGTGTGTGGGTCAGTGGCCGATGCAGATGCAGCCTCCAGGGGCCGCGCTCGCCACCTCGCCGCCTCGCCGCGCTGCGTAGTGCCGCCGAGAGTTCGCTACCCCTGGAGGGGAGGGGGGGGGCGTCCATGTTGATGATGTCGTTAGAGCACGTCTCGCTGACACACTCCCAGCCCGGCCTGGCCAGCCTCAAGGTGGTTGGGTTGATAGGAACAGGTCCTAGAGGCGCCCCGCCCCACCCCGCCCCGCCCGCGCCCCGCCCCGCCCCGCCCCGCCACGTGAGTGTGCTGGAAGTGGCGTGCCTCGTGCCTGTGGCGTGCTGTGGTCGTGCTCGTCGAGGATGCTTTGGGAAGCGAGGCGGTTCAAGCTCGGTCACCGCCGCCGTCGCCGGCTTGCCTACATCCAGGGGCCGAACTAGGCACCCCAAGGCCGTGAGGGGTTGTCGTTAAGTGTTCGGTCTTTTCCCCTCCCCTGCAGACGTGGACTGTTTGACTCACGGCAAGTCGAAAGCGTCGTGTCGCTCTGACGCCGCCTCTGGTGCCGCGCTGCCGCCGCGCACACTGGTTCAGTCCAGCTTGGCACACGGCGGCGGGGCGGCGTGGCGGGGCGGCTCACGTACAGCGGAGGACAAGTAGTCAGGCCCGGTGGTGGACCGCAACGACCCGCGCGGGCTCTCTTCGGTCGCGTCCACCGCGCCCCCGCCACGAGGCTGACCCAGTGACCGCACATAGGGGCCATCCTCTCCCTCCCGCTGTCTCGAATTTTAATTTTGGCATCGGCCACCGTTTGGTCGCTCTGTCTCTCTCGCGCCCCATGAGTGCGAGGGAGACAGCGCGACGACTCTGCTGCATTATCTCGTCGGCGCGTCGACGGCGACGTGTCGAGCGGCGGATGCGGATGGAGCGGTGCCGGTGGAAGGGGTATAGTAGGAAAGGTCGGAAGCCGAAGGGGCCGAAGGCAGTTTGATGGCCGGCCAAAGAGTAGTGTCAGTTGGCGGCTTGGATGGCTTAGATTCCCCCTCCACCCCTTCCCCTTCCCTTTCCCTTCACCGGACCTGGCTGGACCGTTCGGGACTGGGCTCTGTCAACCACGCCGCACGCTCCACAACATGGTCGCCTTGGGGTCGAATCAAGCAACGCCGCACGAGGGGC